TTTTAATAGGTAAGTGAGTGTATGTTACTAATCATTGAACCTTTAAACAGTGAAAAGATGTGTTGGGATGGCTGCAATGTGGTTTAAATTGCCAACCATGTGGTGTGTCAGCCATCCTTAACGCTATAATGCTTGCAGTTGGGAGCACAGTACATAGCAATTTTCAAATGCCCAAGGCAGAAAGAGGAAAGAGAAAACCCTCAGGAGCTGAGTATCGTAAATGAAAGGCTGAGAAGGAAAAGGACCAAGCAAAACAGCAGGGATCCTTCCTGAAATATCTTCTCTTTAATCCAAATAAAGAAGCAGTTCACAGCATCCAGATGAAGGAATTTTACTTGGAGAGGAGGTTAGCTCACATCCGCTTGGAAGCAGTTTGGAACATCAAGATGATGGAAACTTACTTCTAGATGAAGGCAGCTCACAGCATCAGACTGATATGGAATATTTTCACCTTCAGAGACCCATGCAAAAATTGAAGTAAATGAAGTAGAAGGAAAAAAGGATAAGGAAATCACAAACAAGTTACAATATGGGGACCCAGCTTCATGGCCCAGATGTGATGACTGTGTGCAGCAAATTCTCATGGAACATGGACCCGAACAAGTTCATGAATTTCCCTTCCCTAATGAATGAAATGATGGATGGAAATGAAAGAAAATTCTCTCCTCAGCATTACAAGAGGAAACTCATTAATGGGGAAGAAATTCATCGAAACTGGTTACAATATTCAGTGTCGAAGGGCTCTGTGTTTTGCTTTTGCTACAAGTTGTTTAGAAATCAAGCAATTGGTACATTACTTACTGAAAATGGTTCAAAGGACTGGAAAAACGTATCTTCAATTCTCTCTTCACATGAAAGAAGTACAGAACATTTGGAATGTTTTCAAAATTGGAAAGAACTTGCATTACGATTGAAAAAAGGAAAAACTAAACAAAGAAAATTTACATGTGATCAAGGAAAAAGAAGAATATTGGCAACAAATATTAGAGCGCCTGATTGCTTTAGGGAGAGTTCTCGGTGGGCAAAATTTAGCATTCCGTGGCCGTGGTAGAAATAAAAAATTATACACTCCAGGTAATGGAAACTTTTTAAAATTTGTTGAATACTTAGCTTTGTTTGATCCAGTCATGAAGGAGCATCTACGTAAAATAACTGATCATAAAACACAGGTTCATGACTTAGGAAAAAAATATGCAGAATGAACTGATTAAAATCCTAGCAAATGCCATTAAAAAGAAAATTGTAGAAGCTGCCCATTCTGCAAAATACTTTTCAATAATACTGGACTCTAAGCCAGATGTGAGTCATGTTGAACAAATGACGATCATTTGTTTTGTGGATACGGAAAAGTCTGCAGAAAGATAATATTGAAGTGCTCATAAAGGAACATTTTTTGGGTTTCATACCACTGAAGGAGACAACTTGAGCATTTATGACCGAAGCTATTCTTCAAGAGCTTGAAACAATGTCATTATCTGTTGAAAACTTACATGGCCAAGGCTATGATAATGGGAGTAATATGAAGGGTAAAGACAATGGTGTGCAAAGGAAAAGGATGGAAATCAATCCTAGGGCCTTTTTGTTCCTTGCAGTGCGCATTCTCTGAATTTTGTTGTCAATGCTACTGCTAAATGCTGTTTGGAGGCAAGCAGTTTCTTTGACCTGGTGCAAAGTGTTTGTGTTTTTCTCAGGCTCAACACACACGTTGGGAGATTCTGACTCGCCATGTGAATTCTCTAACTGTTAAACGACTTAGTCAGACAAGATCGGAGAGTCACATTGATGCTTTGAAGCCTCTTTGCTATGAACTTGGAAACATTTTTGATACCCTAATTGAAATTTCTGATACTACCTTTACTGGATCATCTGGCAATACGGCACGTTCAGATGCAGAAGCTCTTGCAAATGGCCTTTCCAAGTTCAAATTTGTGACATCACTCATTTTGTGGTATAATATCCTTTTCGAGATTAACCTCACTAGTAAGCAGCTTCAGGAAAAGAACTTGAACATACATTCTGCTATTCAAAAACTGCAGCAAACTAAAAATATTCTGGAGGAATTCAGAAGTGATGAAGAGTTCGAAAGAACACTGGTAGATTCTCTCAAGCTTGCTGAAGAAATAGACTTTCCGACAGAATTTGAACCAGAGCCAGTTTGCATTCGGCAAAAGAAACAGCAGTTTTCATATGAAAGACAAGACACACCCATTCAGAACCCAAAACAAAGGTTCAAAGTGAATTTCTACTTTGCAGTCCTTGATACTGCTATTCACTCAGTTGACGAAAGATTTCAACAGATGCAGCAGCTAGAGTCAGTATTTGGCTTTCTATATGATATCCACAGCTTGCAAAAGAAAACAGCAAAACAGATAAGAGAATTTTGTATAAAACTGGAGTCGGCATTGACTCATGAAAATTCAAAAGACATTGATGTTACAGATTTGTGTAGTGAGCTTCAGGCTTTTTCAAGACGACTTAAGAAACATTCCACTCCTGAAGAAGTACTGAAGTTTGTTTGTGAAAATAAACTCAGACAGTTTTCCAAACATTTTTATAGCTCTACACGTTCTTTTAACTTTGCCAGTTTCTGTAGCTAGTGGGGAACGTAGCTTCTCAAAGTTAAAATTGATAAAAACATATCTGCGTTCAATAATGGTGCAAAAGAGACTTGTTGGACTTGCCACAATGTCAATAGAGCATGAAATAGCTGGAAAACTGAATCTAAAAGAACTAGTGACTGAATTTTCAAAACTTAAAGCAAGAAAGGTCATGTTTTAAGAGCACAGAGTGTTTTTTATTCAGAGTGTTTTGTAAATACAGGTTAAAGTTCATTGAAGAGTTTTCTTATTTCTTTCTTTATTGGATGTGGTGGTAATGGCAGTTAAAGTAGGATAGCATAATGAATGATTTTGGATTTGTAATAATAAAAATTATAATTCACATTTTAATGCATTTTTATTTGAAATCGGACTGAAATATCATCTAGCTGTCATGTACAAATCTATTCTGAAAATTTTGTGTCTCTATTTTATCTGATCTCAGAAACATTGGTTGGAGAGACGGATGGACAGACAAACCGAATAATTAAGCCTCTGTTTAAAGCTTAAAAAAAATTAAAAGGAAAAAAGGGGCAAAATGTTTCCCATTTGCTAAAAACCTCAGCCTAGATCTGCCCTTGGGGTTTGGGCGCCGATTGCATGGTTCGCCTAGGGCACCAGTTGCTGGCAGCTAGTCTAGGGCCGCCCCCGTCTCAAACACTACATTTTAGAACAGAGATACTTCACTATCATTCCAAGAAACTTACACTTCATATTCAGCCTTAATATAGTCTCCCAAAATTTGCAAAAATATGTTCAATGGTCAAGATTATAAAATGATTACAAATCTCATTTTCTAGTCAAGGGATCAATGTCTAATCTATTATTAAAGTGGAGGCCTGGCCTGACATGAGTAATTAACACATGGAGGGAGGCCTCATTTTTTGGGAGATAGAATTAGGGATATAAATGAATCATCGGGTTGCAAACAGAATGTTTGTGCTACATAAGATAAGTAAATATGTCAGTAGGCTAAAAAGACAGAATGTCTGAGCCAACTAAGAGAAGAAGGGAGAACACCCAGGGAACTATTTACTATGAGCTAGATAACGAGGGACATAATAAGTTAGGAATGTAGACATCAGGTAAAGAGAAAGTTGAAATATGGGCAGTACATGGACAGCACATGCTGCACAGGGATTGGTTCCTGCGAAGTAACAAATCCAATCCAATCCAAAAAGTATGCAATGTATAGTGAATGCAATGAGATATGTAATGTATATAAAGGGAGAGGTTACTGTGTAACTTTGGAGATGCGATGTACCTTGCATTCATCTCTCCCCCCCCACCACACACACTCCGCGCATTTGAATCTAATCAGCAGATCATTGCTGTATAATGAATAAAGATACCTGAGTGATGAAAGGAACTGAGTCATTGGGAAGCCGAGTGGAAAGTGGTCTCAGAAGTTATCCCTCCATTAGTGGTACTGTGATTCAACCAGGATCCATTCATCTGGAACAGGTAACGTGTAGTTTATTATATGTGTAGCTTTTCTGTCAAGGTTCACAACCCAGCAGCTGATATGATGGGAGAAAGCTCTCCTCTTAGAGCAGGTACATTAGAGAGCTTACAGTGGCGCACTAAACTCTCTAGTGTAGCCACACCCCATTCCTGCAAATGGCAGCCAAACAAACAGGTGTCTACCAGCATGGACTGGGGCATTAGTCACTATAAAAGCCCCTACCTCTATCACGTCCTGTGCTTCTGTCACGTCCTGTGCAACATAGTGAGGTCAGCCTACCCTCCCTCCCACTGGAGATGTAGCTAGGTCAATGGGAGAATTCTTCCCTCAAGCTAGCTACCACCTCTTGAGAAGGTGGATTTACTGTAGCAGGGGGGAAACCCCTTCTGTAGCAAGTGGCCGCTGTGCTTCTGGAGTGCTTGTAGCACAGACATATCCTTACTATAATTCAAAATACAAACTTGCAAACCCTACTACACTTACATCAGCTTACGCTGCCATATGATCAACACGTCAGTGACAGTAAGATGTGTCTACAATGGCAAAAGTCCCATCAACTGCAGCAGGACCAGGATTTTATCCAATATGTCCTAATGGCTCAGTATTGTTCTTGCCTTGCAAAATGCTTCGGTCCCTCCTCCCTACCATTACTTATCATTAAATTGTTTGTGTCTAGTTTGCACTTGTTTGCTTCTATATTAAATGATCAGATGACGTGTATAGATTTAGAGGCTGATTTCTCTTGCTCTCCCTCTTTTCCCTCTCTCATCTTCTCTGTTTCCAGTTGCCTTTACGCAGGCTGTTTTTCTGCTCCTTCTATGCTGGCCTGAAGTGGATTTTGCTTTGTGCTCTGCCTGAGCTCTCAGCTTTAGCCCAGCCCCGTCCTTCCTCCAGATGCTCCTCCCCGCTCACTGCTCAGCTCTATGTATTGGTGTGAATGAATGAGAAAGGGGGGTGTGAATAAGTGTGACTCTGCTGGGCTCAGCGTGATTTACGGCTCTGCTGAAAACTGCTTCCCCTGCAGCTTCAGCACCACCACCACCACAGCAGCAGCAACAAGTCAGGTAAGTGCTGCTCTCTGCACCACAGAGCCTGGAGGCGGGGGGAGAAAGAGAAAAGATGTGCTTCCTGCAATCAGTGCATGTGTTTGTCAGTGCAGGGAGGAATGGGGTTTAGGGGTGTGCCTGAGGGAACTGGACTGAGCTCAGAGCCCACGGAATACTGGGTCTAGGGAATCCAGGGAGACAGCATCAGGCATCGTACACACTGGAGGAGATGGGTCGCCTAACACACACACACACACACACACACGCACGCAGTAGAGAGCGGTTGGAGCTCTGCCTAATCTTCCCCAGCCCACGCAGAAATAGTGACCTTGTCTTATTTAGTCCACTGTACCTTAAACATCTTTGTGCCCTCCGCATGCACACTGCACAGCCCCCCTCTTTTGCATGTAAGTAGCCTCTCCTTGCCCCCTTCTGCTTGAAGTCCTCCTCTTGCATCCCTCTGCCACCCCCCTTCAGCTTTTCTGTGTGTAAGCTACCCAGCCCCCATTTGTCCCCATCTGCTGAGTTCATGTCACCACCAGTACTGTCACCTATCTGCATGCACACCTATATGCATATATATGCACAGGTACAATTTTAGATTTGTCTTATCGATGGAAACAGGTATCAGGTCTTATTGCTTACTAATCAACATAATGAATATAAAAAACTTGTTACTGGCCTTTGTCTGTGAGTAAGGAATAATAATGAAAGTATGAAAAAGCATAGTAAGCTATTTAGTTTCTGAGCATGCTACACTACAGACTAACATTGTACAACAGGCTAGCTTTTCATATATACGTAGTCTGACTGTTAAACAACTGCTTCAGGGTTAGTTGCTCTCAATATCATGATGTTTCAGCTTAAATGAGAGCCTAATGAGGGCTTTGAGGCAGCTAAAGAAAGTTACAAATTAATTTGTTGATTTTATTCTGCTGTGTGATGTGCTGCCATTTGAATGACATGGTTGAATTTGCTTTCCCAGGAACCGGTTTGAAAAAAATCAGTCTGAAAGTTTGTTCTTACTTCTTGGTTTGTATTAGCAAAATATGCACCACTTTCCTCAGTATGCAATAAGAGCATCTTTTTGAACAAACCTGAAAATTAGTTGGTCTTTTCTTTCCTTCCAGGATTCAGAGAGTAATGCAACAGAACACTTTTGAAGAAAGCAGACACCCTTGGCAGGAGTCATTTGAAAATGTCAGTATCTGCATGCCATTTCGTTGCCCACGATGCGGTGACCACACTAGATTCAGAAGCCTTTCTTCTCTGAGGGCACATCTGGAGTATAATCATAGGTATGAAGAAAGAAGCCTTCTGACAAAATGCAACCTATTTTCTTCCCTCAAAAATGCAGACTTGCTCTCTTCCTCAGAGACCGTGACTCAAGGAAAACTGGGGAACACCAGCAATGCAATAAAACAAAAACCATCCTACATAAATTTTTGTGACACATCACATGAGTACCCAAAGAACAGAAAATCACTGGAGGTGGAAGCTGAAAGGCCTGTCTCTTTTGTGGCAAATTACGGGTCAGCTGACTTCACAGATGAGCAAATTTCTAAACCTGGTGTTCCAACAACAGACTCCAAAGCCTCTTTTGAGGCACATGTACGAGAAAAGTTTAATAGGATGGTAGAAGCTGTAGATAAAACAATAGAGAAGAGAATTGACAAGCTTACCAAAGAGCTGGCCCAAAAAACTGCTGAGCTGTTGGAAGTTCGGGCGGCTTTTGCGCAGCTATCTCAGAAGAAACAGGAAGTTCAGAGGCGAGAGAGGGACCTGAACAGACAGGTGGATGTTGCAGTTGAGATGATTGCTGTACTGAAGCAACGTCTTACAGAGTCTGAGGAAGAACTTCACAGGAAAGAAGAGTAAGTGGAAGGGCAATAGAAGCACAGAGTTGATGGCTTTGCATGTGCTTGGAGAATATGTGCAATATTAGAGTAGATTTTATATATATATATAACGATCATGGGTACTATTGTTAACTGAATATGAGGGCATATAGGCGGTGTGTCTGGTGTTCTTTTGCTTCTCTATTTTATTTCCAGAGTAGTAACCCCTACCACACTGGCATTATCTATTTGCAGTTGCCACCAAAGTCTTACTATGGGTTTCATGTCACAAGAACCCCTAGGTCATCACTCCACATTGCAATTGCTTACATCAAATTTTACTCTCCATTATGCGAGTGTAATTTCTTTGACTTCAATGGAGTGGTGCAGGTGTCACTGAGACTAAACTTTGACTTAATAAATGAATTGACATGCATGCTGCATATAATTTTTTAAAAGTGAGGTTTAATAAGGGCCAGATTGTGTTGCCCTTATCATTCAGACTAGTAGCTTACTCTGAGCAGTCCTATCAAAGTGGTGCTACTCGTAGAAGAAGATATTCAGTGAGTAAGGGTATCAAGATCTAGCTCTAGCAGAGGGCTAACGCCTGCCTTGTGTTGTATGGATGCAGCAAGAGGAAGCGGTAAAAGGAATTTCTTCTCCCCTATGGAGCAGCAAGGCATGGCTGCAAGCAATTGCTCAAGAGTGCACTTCTAGAAAAACCTGGGAAGGGGTTTTGAGGGGAGGGGAAGTAGATCTATAAAAACAGAATTTTGTGTATCACTGGAACCACAAGCAGATTCCAGACTCGTTTGGCAAGCCTAGTCCACCTAAAAATATGTTCATGATGCACCCATTAAAAATGTAGCAGTGTTTGTTACATTATTTATGGATGAACTACTTACAGTATTTAGCATTCTCAGAAACCCTTTCAGACAGTTCGCAATAACTTATTTTTAGTAAAATGCATGTTCCTTAAAATGTGATGCTCCTAAACTGGTTCATTAGTTACCAAAAAGAACTATGAGGACCCCTAGTAGATATGACAGTGATTTTAAACAGACGTAAGTTTCCAAAATAATAGATCTAATCCAGCAGCACTTTTTCATGTGGGCTGGATCCAGCTCCCATTGAAGTCAAAGGGGGTATTGCCAAGGACTTCAGTGGGGCCAGCATTTTGCATTCTTTCAATTACATGAGAAGTCTTACTAATGGCAATCAGAGCAGTGGTCAGACAGGGGGGAAAAATAAGTGGTGGTACTCTCCAAAGCTGTGCCCAGATGTGGGGTCAAAGTGAGATGCATTAAGTAGATTGTGCAAATCTTTGTAATAAGATCACACTTCTCCCTTTTGTGTGAATGCTTCGATCAACAGAAACACTTTAAATGACAACATGGTTAGGCCTCAGAGTTAACATCCCACTGTGCTCCATGGGAGCAGTTTACACCTCTCAGAAATATTCTTTTAGGCTGCTGGCAGACTCAGGCCTGGTCTACACATAGATGTTGTGCTGGTATAACTATTTTGTTTAGAGGTTTGGTAGTGAATGTCCCCCCCACACACACCAAGGTTTTGCACTTGCTTAAAGTGCCATAGGCCGCAGAGGACATGGCCTGACCAATTCTTAACAGTGATCCTGTATTAACTCAGTAGCAGCTGCTGCCGGACCACTACTCAACTGTGTGGTCGCAGTGCCACTGAAATTTGATTCAGACAAGTCTCAGTGAATGGGATTGCAACCTGACACAGGACTGCAACAGCACTGAACTTTAGCCCAGCCACTCCCTGTCCAGAGAGAGGAGCAACCAGACAAATGGTGTTGTGATCTGTCACACTGGGCGTCAGTTCCTGTATGGCACAGTGCATGGAGTCCACCAAGAACTTGACTCCTGACAGCACCTGCTGATGTGAGTAAGAGCGAGGGGAAGCTCCTCAGCCTAAGAAACCTAGGGGCCCTGCAGCGGGTGAGGGGAAAGCAGGAACCAGAACATGGTCCTGGCTGGGAAGGGGCAGTAGGGATGCCAATTTTGGTTGGACGTATTCCTGGAGGTTTCATCACATGACAATCTTTAATTAAAGATTAATCTTTAATTCCTGGAGACTCCAGGAGAATCCTGGAGAGTTAGCAACCCTAAGGGGCAAGGACTGGAATTTGCTCTCCCCCTGCCCCACTCCCAGACATATTTAAATTGGTGCCACTGCCTTACTGGAATAACCATATCAGTATAAAGCACCCTTGTATTGCTATAACTGTCTAGATTAGGGGGGCTGGACTGCCTACCTGTACCAATATACTTAAAGTGGCACAACTGGTGTGTGTATATGAGCCCTCAGGCAGACACCTGAGGTGGAACACCCTCAGGGACATCACTCAAAGAAGAAAGGCCAGAGATTTCAGTTTCTTTTGCAAAAGAAAGTTTAATACTCTAGAACACTAGATACAGTCAACAAAGATAACTCAGGCCACTGAACCACCTCAATCTGACCCATGACTGAGACCACGCAGATGAGTAAAGGTTGTGGGATTAAGCTGTGAGTGGAGCCCTTGAGCAAATTTCAGAGTTAATTGGAAAATGTGGGCAGAAAGGAAATACTCAATTTTTGATGAAGGAGAGTGAGAGTCAGCATGAATACTGTGAGCTTCAGAATACCACAGAAACCTGCACAAAGGGAATACATTTTAAGCTACCAATTAGATCACTGCAGCTAAGAGCAATTATGAGTTCAAGAGGGCATCTAGAGGCTTGTTTCTGGAAAATAAGGGGATTTATTGGTATGGTGAGAAAAAAAAATCAAGCAAAAGGGGTTTGATTTTAATAAACCTAGACAGAGTAAGCATGCAAGGCCAGGGGACATTTGTGCACCCCTAAATTTTAGTATGAGAAATATTTAAAAGATTAGAGACCTGGGCCTAAGTAGTTCTCTCTGCCTTGATCATTACTTATTGTCCTTAGTCATAACAATCAGCAGGAACTCTCCCTTTACAGAAAAAAACAGTGCTGATTTTAATCCAAAATCTAGAATTTCTACTGGCATTTTCTTTTTGTTTTGTCTATTTGGTCTTTCTATGTTCTCTGGCTTTAGTATAAGAGCAAGATATAAGGACACTTATTAAAGGCCAAACTTTCAGTACTTAGACAAAACTTCTATTGGCTTCCCTCTATCACCCACCTTTCATATTGTTAGTTTCTTACTCTCAGGCTTGGTCTACACTAACCCCCCAAATCGAACTAAGGTACGCAACTTCAGCTACGTGAATAACATAGCTGAAGTTCGAAGTACCTTAGTTCGATCTTACCTCGGTCCACATGCGGCAGGCAGGCTCCCCCGTCGACTCCACGGTACTCCTCTCGCCGAGCTGGAGTACTGCAGTCGACGGCGAGCACTTCCAGGTTCGACTTATCGCGTCCAGACAAGATGCGATAAGTCGAACCCAGAAGTTCGATTGCCAGCCGGTGAACTAGCAGCTGGGTATAGACGTACCCTCAATGTAGAGTCATTATTCTGGAATAAAAGTCACTTTAACTCTGGAAGAGTGTGTCCACATAGGGAGCTATTGTGGAACAGCTTATTCCAACAGAGCTATGCTAATCAACTTCCCCATGAAGAGTAGGCCTTGGGGCCAGATTGTGACTTGTTTTTCCATGGCAGTTCACAGAGCTGTTCCCTTATGCCCCTAAGTAGCAAACTGACACACCTGTGGTCAGTGGCTCTTTGGAGTACATATCCTATTCCTTCTGTGCACCTCTTGGGATGCCCAGAGGGGAAAGGGAAGGAGCAGAGCCCTGGTCACATCCACTTGCACAGAGAATAGAAAGGGGATTCAGAATACTGGAGGTTTTCAACTCAAGCCATGTGTGTCAAATTTCACAGAAACTTGAAAGGGGAGTTGGGCACCACATTGAAAGTCTGTGGGAGTTGGGTGCCTACCTTTCCTTGGTATCTTTGAAAAATCTCCTTCAGTTAGTTAATGCTTATCATTGGTGTACATTTAGGGTCACTTAGGATGTGGAAACTATCGAGGCATTGCCTTGCTATCTACAGGAGGGGAAATTTTTGCCCATATCCTCTTAAACGAATTACTTCCCCTTGTTGAGGAAATATTGGCCGAATCTCAGTGCAGTTTTAGACCATCCCATGGGACAACTGATATGATCTTTGTTGCCTTCCAAATCCAGGAAAAACCTTGGGAGCAAAATTAGGATCTCTACATGGCTTTCATCGATTTGACAAAGGCCTTTGACTCTGTCAATTGCAAAGCCCTGTGGAAGGTGCTGGCCAGATCTGGCTGCCCTCCAAAATTTATTAAGGTCCTAAGGCTTCTCCATGATCAGATGACTGCCACAATTCTCTGTAATGGCCTTGAGAAGGAACCTTTCATTATCAAAACTGGGGTTAAGCAAGGATGCATTGTTGCCCCAGCCCTGTTTTCCATCTACTTAGCAGTCATTTTGGTCCTTGTTAAAGCTCACCAACTCCCCAGTGGAGTTGACATTCAATGAATGGATGGGCAGCTCTTTAATCTTTGACATCTCCGCTCAACATCTAAAGTCTTCAGGGGTCCATTACTGATATTCAGTATGCTGATGATTGTGTCATCCTTGTGCACACTGAGAATGACCTTCAGTCCATACTGGATTTTCATGCACAAGCTTACCAAAGCCTAGGTCTCTCACTCAATACTGAGAAGACTGAAGTGCTCTATCAACCTGCTTCAGGCCTTGCACGTGACCCACCACAAATCACCATCGAAGGTCAGACTTTGGAGACAGTTGAGCACTTTTGCTAGCTCAATAGCAAACTTTCTCCAAATGCAAAAATCAACAGTGAGATCCAGCACAGGATCCAGTGCGCAAGTGCTTCCTTTGGAAAATTGCTCCGACGCATTTTCACGGACCGTGACCTACGGCAGGATACCAAGATCCAGGTCTATAGGACAATTGTTGTTCCTACACTCCTCTATGGATGGGAAACCTGGGTGACCGATCGACAACACCTCAAGAGTCTGGAGAGGTACCACAAACGATGCCTCTGGA